TGGCTGCTGTTCGTGGCGGCGCGGCTGTGCAGGAGGGCCAGGGCGGCCTCGCTGGGGGGCTGCTCGGTGCCCGAGGGCCCCTTCCCGGGCCACCTGCTGGACGTCAGCGGCACTGGGACCCTGTCCCACAGCTACCAGTATGAGGTGTGTCTGAGGGGCGACTCTGAGAGTCAGGAGTTCAAATTCTTGAAGCCTATCTTCCCCAATATTCTGGTCCAGGACTCTGGGAGGATATCAGAGGGTAATCCAGCATTCCAAAGTAATTTAGGCATTTGAAAATTTCACACTATGTTAGTTTTGTCTTCTTTTTTTTTTACTTGATTTTTAAAAACTTGGGAGAAATATTTATATCTCCTTTTTTCCTTCTATGTCTATATCCTTTTGTGATGTTACTATTTGATTTATTGGCCTGGTCATCACATAATTATTTTTTCCAATTATTGTGTTATTAGTAGATATTTTGTGTTAGGAATTTTCATATTCCTGAGTTAAACTTTGCTGCTTATTCTCAAAGGATAATATGAAAATTAATTCCTCCTAATAACAATAATTGTAAAAGTATGTTACACACCATATGAAGCTACCTAAGAATGTGGAAGTCCTTTTACCATACTTTATTTGTTAAATATTGGAAGTCTTTTTAGTTTGTAGTATTTATAGATTTTCCAATTACCCTATTTCTGTTTGGAGTGCAATCTGTTCATATTTATCCTAGTCTAGTTTTTTTTTCCCAAGGACCCTATTTGGATTTTCATTTTCCAATAAACAACAATATGGATAATGTTAAGCTACATGTTCATTTTAAGACTACATTTGTAATTATTAATCTTTTACTCAAAAATACATATATCCTATTATGAAAATATATCAGCATCATCTATTCTTTCTCATCTAAATTAATGTAGAAAATACCTGTGGATACTTCCTCGTCTCTAGTTGACATTATGGTTCTGATAAGAGTGCTGGACAGGTTCGCTGCTATGCAGATTGATTGTGTTTAAGATGTTCCTTTAAGGCCAAGATGGTAGGACCCAGTTATGCGTTTCTGTAATGATCCTCTGCTGTGGCAGGGAGATTTTCACGTGAGCACCAAATCCTGGGCTTAGAGGAGTTCTGAGGGGGCAGCATGCCAGTGTTCAGTTGTCTTTAGATGATGACATTGTTCTGGTTGATGAGGAATTTGAAAGAAAAGGCATTGTAGAATTAATATGAGTTAACCAAACAAAATGTATTCAAGTTTATGTTGGTGAAGAAGTTGAATGATTTGGAGAAAAAAATCTGTTCTGTTGTTAGGACTCCTTTGTCTCCAGCAGCCTCTCAACTGCACGTAGTATAGGATGATTTGGTAAGCAAAATAAGAGCAAAGATGGCCACATCTTAACTCCTGGAATCTATGAATACATTATGTTACATCACGAAGGGAAATTAAGGCTCACGTGGAATTAAGGTTGCTAATCAGCTAAACTTAAAATCAGGGAACTATCCCAGATAATATGGGTGGAACTTTTTCAATCAGTTGAAAGACTTTAAAAGCAAAAATGAAGTGTTCCTGAAATGAAGAAATTCTGCCTAAGAATATCACTTTCAGCTTGTGTCCTAGAGTTCCAACCTGCCCTCCCTCATTGGCTGCCATTGGAGATTTGGGGCTTGTTTAGCCAGCTCGCAAAATTAAATGAGTAACTTCCTTGCGATTGATCTCTCAATATGTACCATCTGGTGGCTCTGTTGCACTGGCTGAACCCTGACTGATACAGACTTTAGTACCTGGAAGTGGAGTGCTGAAAAAAAAAATTAAAAATGTGGAAGCAGATTTTGAATTAGTGGGAAGAAGCTGAAAGATTTTTGAGAAGCATAATAGAAGATATCTAGATTGCTTTGAACAGAGTTAGTTAAAAAAAATGGTGTCAGCAACTCTGCTAGTGAAGACTCAGAAGAAGAAAGGACCATGTTAGAGAAACATATATTGCCTTAGAGAATACCATTGAAAGCAGGCTGCGGATAGAAATAATGATGTTAAAGTTACTACGGACAAGGGCTCAACGATAAGGAAACTGTTACTGAAAACCAGAGGAAAGATCATCCTTTTATTTATTTATTTATTTATTTTTATTTTGGAGTTTTATTTTGGAGTTGCTATAGGGTGTGTGCGTTCATCAGAAAGACAAAGAGGCATGGGAACCAGCAGTTAGCGTAATGGCTATGTCGCTGGATTCCCACGTAGTCGACCACGGTTCGCGTCCCGGACCCGGTGGCTTAGAACTCACGCCGGGCGCGTGTGCGTGCGTGCCCAAGATCCTAAGAGGAGAATGGAGGAGAAGGGATTGCGGCATGACCATCCCCCCTGGGGGGTGATTTCTCACTTTCTGTCTCTCTGTCTCTGTCTGTCTGGTGAGTGCACGCGCCCTATAGCCCTATAGCAAAAACCTCTCAAAAAAAAAAGAAAGAAAGAAAGAAAGAAAGAAAGGCAAAGAGTCAGAAAGCGAGAGAAATCACCCCCCAGGGAAGATGGCCATGCCATAATTCCTTCTCCTCCATTCTCCTCTCCGGACCTTGGGCACGCACACACCATGGCGTGAGTTAAAGCCACAGGATCCAGGACGCGAACCGCAGTCGCTACATGGGAGTCCAGCGACATAGCCATTACGCCAACTGCTGGTCCCAAGATAATCCTTTCATATAGTGGCAGAAAGCTTAGCTGAATGATGTCCTGCAGTTTCTTGGAAAGAACTTGTAAACAACAAACTTGGATATTTAGGTGAGATTTTCAGGCAAGGGGCTGAAGGTGCAGCCTGGCTTCTTATTGCTGCTAACAGTAAAGTGAGAGAGGAAAAATGTGAAATTGAAATGAGGGAAGAATGTTTTTTAAGCGGTTATTATTATTATTATTAAGGTAATAATGATGATTGGGGAATGCTCCATTTATTCAGATTGCGAAAGATGTTAAAATAAGGAGATCCACTGCAGGAGAACATGTTCTGGGGGAAAAACCCAAGAGCATATTAGGCCAGTCTTTGGGTAGTGCCTTGAGAGGATGAGAGTAGTCAGTTGCACAGAAGGACTCTTTGAAGACACTAGGCAAATGATTTTTGAATATCCTCAACCATGTCCATGGGAGCCAGAAATATAGATTAAACTATTCATAAAAGAACTGAGAAGGAGTCTCTTATGTTGTGACAAAGTATTCAGGAAAGAACTGAGAAGGAGTCTCTTCTTGCTGCGACAAACACAAGAGACCCATGAGGTTCTTACAAATGCTGTATCAGCAGAAAGCTTCAGCTTAAACTGCAAGCAATAGAGAGGATAAGTTAAATAGACTAATGTACCTCAAATTCCATAAGCAAGAAACACACTTATAAAGCTATTTCTCAGGCTAGCAGGCAGTGTAGTGGTTAAGGTCCTGGACTCCCACATGGTTGATGATGGTTCCAGTCCTGGAATTGGTGGCTTGAAACTCATGCTGGGCACATGTGTGTGCATGCCCGAATCCCAAGAGAAGAATGGAGGAGAAGGGTTGTGGTGTGGTCATCCCTCCAGAAGGTGATTTCTCACTTTCTGTCTCTCCAGTGAGTGCACATGCCCCATAGCAAAACTCTCTCTCAAAAAAAAAAAAAAACAAAAAAAACCAAAAACCAAAACAAAACAAAAAAAAACTACTTCTTTGAAAACATGGACTCACTCCAATGAAGAGCATGGATGGTACAGAGGTTGGAGCCTAGAGCCGGGAGAGTAGAGCTGTAAACCATAAAAAAAATCAGTCCCAAGCCTTGAGTGCAGTTTTCCTGGATGGGTTGCTGCTTTCTTGGTACTTCACATTTCATCCCTTTGGAGCTAGAATATCTAAAACTATCACGTTGTGCCTGCCCTGTCTTTGTGTGTGTGGGGAGCAGACCATTTAGTTTCACAGGTCCCACACATTGAACCCCAGGCATTTCTCAGTGTAACGGTCGTAGATAACAATGGTAACTCAATATGAATGCTGCGTTTTTGCATACTCCTGTGCTCACTAGAGAGAACTGATTCCTCAGGAAGCCAAAGTACACTGGAGAACTGGCAGTGGGTAGAGCTTCCTTAAAATGAGAACTAAGATCAGCGGGGCCTGCAACATCTGTGTCTCCCTTATTTTATCTCATTCATTTTATTCAACACAGTAGCCGTTAGCATGTTTTTTAAGTGGATTTTTCTCCCTTATATCCTTAGATACCCCCTTAGCAATCATGTTATAGGAAGAAGGGAAACAGGAAAGTGACCTAAATATGTCGCTATGTTATTACTTTTCTTGCTTTTATATTTCTGACTGCAGGGATTCCCTTTACATACACTTTCCAAGTGATTCAGGCTTTTAAAAAATGTCTGGTAGGGACCAGCAGATGGCGTAGTAGTTACATAGCTAGACACCCATTCGACTGACCCCGGTTTGAGTTCCAGACCTTAGACACCCATTCGGCTGACCCCCGTTTGAGTTCCAGACCTGGTGGCTTGAAACTCGCACCAGGTGCGCATGAGTGCATCCCCAAGATCCCAAGAGGATACTGGAGAAGAAGGGATTGGCCACCCCCCAGGGGGTGATTTCTCACTTTCTTTCTCTCTGTATCTCTCTGGAGAATACACATGCCCTGTAGCAAAAATCTCCCCCCAGCAAAAAAAAAAAAAAAAAAAAAGAATGTCTGGTGAATTTCAGCACTTTCAGAGGTTGATCCCATACTTACAGTCCCCCTTGTGTCTGCTCATGGTCTGGAGAGCAGCATGTATTAGGTCGGAATCCTCAGGAGTAGTCCCTGCTGTTGAGAGTCAGTGGGTTTCAAGGTAATACTGGTTTGAATGGCAAATGATAGAAGCTAGCTCATCACTAGTACTTTTAGTTGTGGTCTTTCTCTTAACTTTTCCAGATGACAAATTTGGGTTAATTTTTCATGCCTTCCCACATGGAAATGCATGTTTTGAAATAGATCCAGAGACCCCTACGTGCCAGTACTGTTCCTTTCTTATCTTACTTTGCAAATACTTTATTGGTAAAGTACAGAATTAAAAGGCATCTCTGAAAGAGGAATACTTTCGTCTTTCTTAGACTGACCAGGAATACAAATGCTGTATCAGCAGAAACCTTCTTGAAAGGAGCATTACTTCATGTTTATTGGCATAGCAACAACAACAAAAAATTTAAGCGCCAGCAGTTGGCATGGTGATTAAGGAGCTAGATATCACATGGCTGACTGCATGATTTGAGTCCTGGACCTGGTAACTCGAAAAACACACTGGGCACCTGTGTGTGCATGCCCAAAATCCTGAGAGGAGAATGGGAGGGATTATGGTGTAGCCACCGTGCCTGTGGAAGGTGATTTCTCACTTTTCATCTCTCTCGGTATCCTTGTCTTTCTCAGGTGAGCACACACACTCTATGGGGAAAGCACACACACACAACAAACACACTACCATGGTAAATGAATGGTGAGAACTCCATGGCTGCACACACTGTTTGTACATTTGTGTGTGTGTGCATGTGTATGCATTCGTGTATTTATGCATGTGTGTCGGAGGTGGCCTTAGCAGATGGTGGAGATGCACTGCTCGTAGAGATACGTGCCAGAGTAATGTTGCTTTCTTATTACTTCTACATTAGGATATTAATTTCCTTTTTGTTATTTTTAAATAATTATTTATTTCATTTTATTTATCATTATTTTTAAAAATTTGCTACAGTGCATGTGCACTCACCAGAGACAGAGGGAGGGAGGGAGAAAGAAGGAAAGTGAGAAAGCAAGCC